AGTTGAATGATCTATTTTTTAATATTTAATTTTCTTATTCTCATTCCAGCATTTCTTTCAAAAAGAAAAAATGATCGGTGAACTAAAATATGACAGAAAAAATGTCGGTGATAGTCTCACAAAAATTCAACAATCCATAAAAAAGAAACACGATAAAGATAGATCCTTCGCAAAGAGATCGTGAGGCCCATCGAGCTGACCGAGCTAAGCTAACTAATTCAAAAGTCAACGGTAGAATGTCTAATCGATGCCAACAGAACACTCATCCAGGAACTCATCAAGAGGATATCCAATTCTTCAACCCAAACAAGCTGACCCAATCTGGAGATCTATCCCACAACAGAGTTGATCAAATGAAAGGATTAGTTGTGCAAATATCTTCGACCGTCCCACAAAGGCCAACAACTTCTTGCCGAAGAGGATTTCTGAATTAGCCAACTCAGAGAAGTTGAACAAGCCAAGCCAACTCATACATGCTAAACGAGCTAAGCCGACCAAGCCAAGCTAACTTAAAAAAGTCGATCAAGCTAAAAAAATAACCAAAAGATGAATAGTCACCTTTAGACGCCAAAAACATCCCAACATAGGCCACTCCAACTAAAGACAAAAATGTAATACTATTGTTATGTTTAATGCTCTATAAATAGGAAAAAAAAATTATTAAAGATAAGTCCACTTTTACTGTTCATTTTTTATTATCACAAGATTTAGTATAGAAATCACCTCCTTCTCCATCTATTTTTTTCAATTTTTCTCTCACACTATAAAGTTCTCACACTATTCAATAGGTGGGATTCACGAACATTTTTAGATTCAACAAATACTATACCTTGTTATGCCCACTTGTTTTGAGATAATACCTATTCAACATAACAAAATAATTACAAAACAAGTAATTAGTTCTAGCCATTAAATCGTACTTAAGTTGAGTAGCTCTTAAAGAAATCATTGGCAATTCCAGTATTTTTAAAAAGGAATTGCTACTATTATATTACTATAACATGTCATATTATTAATATACTACCTAATTATTTATAATTACTAATAAACAATCCTATTTATTAAACTCATTTACAAACCACCTCAACATCTAATTATCATGGTAAATATGAGTTTATTACCTTAAGATGCACCCTATAATTATAACGAATTACATAACATCCAAATAATCATAAAAAAATATTACAATAAACCAATAAAAATCTCTTGGAAAATTAAATTTCAAATTGTCAAAAAAAACTATTTCTCAAATCATGGATGCTCAAGCATTCAACAATGTTTAAGCATTTGCAGAGTTCCCAAGTAGAAGTTTACATAAATTAGTGCACCACAGAAAGACATCCAAATGGTCAATATCACATTTTTAATTTTTACAAGAGGACTTCATTATTTACAAATCCAAAAGCAAAAACCGTAAATTTATATGTATATATATCCGCAAAAACTTGAGAGAGAGTTCAAACAAACCTGGGGATGGCATAACTGGGCTCCGTCCAATTAGTTGGATCCACCACAATACAAGGATCTGATTTTTCAAAGTAGGCAACCTGTAACACAAGAGCTGAATGTTTAATTTCATCGGAATATCACCTATGAGATTTGCAATATAGAAAATGGTGTCTTACATGAAAAAATATTTTTTACCTTTTCTTTACAATTTGGGCAATAGTGATATTTGTGCCAGAGGCAGTCCATGGAAGGGCAAAGAAAGCATACTCCCAGCATAAATGGCATCATGCAACCAACAAGAGCAGCTAGACTTGGTTTAGATCTGCAGCAACCAAAGAGGGAATAAAAAAATGAGATGGGAAATTTACATACATACCACACAATTTTTATATTTTTACATATCTAACTCCTAAAGTATGATATTTACATTTTTAACACATTGGTGTCATAACTACGAATGAAAGGTGTATTTCAATTTTAAAAGGATAATGTTGATGGTATTTTTTTATGCAATGTCTGTGTATGCATGTAAATACGACAGTTTAGGTGTTAAATAAGTAAATATAAGAACTGCACGGTAAAAATGTAAAAGCCTCAAATGAGAAATGACTATGTATTTACATATCTAACACAAACTTTGATTTTAACATTTACACAACCCTTACGCACTTACCCGCGACACAGTGTTTGAGGGTTTAGTTTCCCATCTTGAGGTCCTAGGTTCGAATCTCACGTATTGCCCTTTGGGCTCATCTTTCCCAAATAAAAGAAAAAAAAATTTATACCACCCACATCTTTTATACCACATAAAAAATACAACTAATGTAACTTAAAAAAAGAGAAATACACCTTTTCACGAATAGTTAAAGAGGTATATAAGTAAAAATTGAAGTTGGTGTTAGATCTGTAATGGTGTTAGATCTGTAAACGATAAGAATTGAGTGGTATGCATGTAAATCTTCCATTAGAAACAAAAAAAAATTTACAAGGAATACATGGTTAAACAATTATGACTCGTAAAAGACAAGTGCCAAGCTGTCGGTGTTTTCTATGCTGGCCTGATGTAATTGTTGACGGTAAGGGGATAGAATATAAATCAGAACAAAACCAAATGAAATTTTGGTTAAAAGAAATTGGAGGGAATGTAAAAATTTTACTTTACAATTTCAGATTTGCTAATTAGTTCCACTGCAACTAATAAGTAAATGGATCAAAATAAATCAATAAAGTAATAGGTAAATGGATCCACAGGAACATGTGTAAAGGCATATTACCATAAACAATCCCTATACAATCATTAAACTAAATAAATAATAATAAATTATCAGTTATCACTATGATTCTCATGCTCCTCCTGACAAAGAAATAAAAAATAAATTTTTAAACAACTAAAATAGAAGGAAAAAAATACTTTCACACAATTTCTACACAATCAAATCAAGAGGTGAAAACTAATTTCAATTCAATTCCCACTCCCTTCTCATTTCGTCTCCTTCAATTACTTCTAACCACACAGCCTTATAGAGTTCACGATAAGTGATTTTCAAACAGTTTTTCAAAGAGAAGAATAATCATCCTGTCATCAAATGGGTTTAAATTATGCACAGCAGTATCCACACTTATTAAAAGACTGGGAAATCATCTCTCATGCGATCAATTTAGTCACAACCAATCTACATGAAAAGTTAGGAAATTTCCCCACAAAGCATGAGCTCCAAAAAGACCAACATAAAAATCCTTATCAACCTTTATAATTTCAGATTGAAAACCGGTATCCTTTCAAATCTCCAACAATTTCTGAAAAACTATTTTTATCCCCTTCTAGTAGCATTTAGCGTATCTTTAATTCAAATTCAAAATAAAAAACATAAACACCTCACCTTATGCCAAAAATAGAGAAAAACAGAAAGAAAGAAAAATCAGGGTCCATCATCTACCGGTCTTCTTTCCTAATACATGGATACAATTTTTTTTGTCTTAAGAACATCAATTTCATAAATATAAATAGTTGGGATAAAGCCAAAGACATTGATGATGATCTTAACTCTAAAGTTCTGATTTTGATTTTTATTTGGACTGGTAAATTTCATAAAATACAAGCAGTATCTCTAGAATCAAATTGTGTTTCAATTTAATAAAGCTCAACAAAAGTAGCCGTATTCCTATTGAATATCTCTAACTATTGTAATTTCAAAATATCGAGATAGAGTTACATAAGCAGCTAACCATATGACAGCATTAGAATCAGAAGTAAATTTATTACACTTTTATGAATCCAAGTCACTTTTACAAACAAAGCTTAAATCTTTGGAAAGCCAATCAATATATATACCTCGTTTAATATTGGTTGTAATTTCATGCTGGTAAAATATTTGCTTTTCTAGCATTCTAGCCTATCAATATTCTATTTTAGCAAGAAGCATTCATCAGGGCTAAAATATCAAAATCAAATTGACAATAAATCCAGGTTGTCACCAAGATCACTATTCAGATAGAAATGCCTTCTAATGTTACTCTTGTCCATCACCAAGATTCATATCATTATCTGTATAAAAATCATAAAATTCATAATGGTTAATATTAGCATTAAGATCATATAACAGATTAATACAGAAATGCATTCTTGATTGGATAAATTAACTAAATAGTAAGTCAAATAAAAACAAATAAATAATGGTATGAATCAACTTATAAATCAATTATGGTAAGTCAAATAAAAACATGTAATTGTGATATATTTTCTTTATTTAGTTTTTACTTAAATATTTAGTTATTGGTTTTGCATATTTAGTTATTGGTGTTGCAAGGGTGGTCAAAAGTGAAATGCCGAGTAAGGTATAAATATTCAACCGTTGTTTGATTTTCAAATTTCAACATTCTCGTGAGTTTTTCAAATTTAATCTATCATTGCATTATCCTTTCTTTTTTCAATTTCTCAAGCTTTTTAGTTTTACACTTAATGAAGGCAGAGTATTGTGCAATCAATGGATTTTAATGTGAATCCCATTTCTTTTTTGTGGACTACATTCATTTTGATTCCAATAGAAATGTCAAATTCTAAATTTCCTATTTTAAATTTATTCTTGTTTATTCCTTTCTTATTGAGTTGTATTTCTTTTATTTAGTTGGTTGTTGTGTCTTTGATAAGGTACAATGATAGGAATTAAATTTGCCTTAATAATTGAGAAATAAGAGAATATAGCTTTTACTCTTCATGATATCAGAGCCTCGACGGATCATTCCCATCGGCGTGTTCGCCTTCAATGTTAGCCTCGTTTATCATTGGTTTCATTTGAGTCATATGGATCGCAAGCTTCAGGGTCTTCCGTCTCCTACCTGTGCACGTGTGACCCCGGAACTGAAGCCCTTGCTGGATCGCAAACTTCAAGGTTGTTCGTCTTGATTTTGTTCGGTTTGCAAAAGACAAATCGTAGGTTCGCAGCGTACAGGGACCCTTCGCTTAGCTCGTCTCTCTCGTACGCACGAGTCGCGGACTCCGTTCGAATAAAATCCTCCATGCAGCCGCCGAGATCCTCTTCAACTAGCCAACAGACCCTCCTCTG